TTGAATTGGGAAAGTGCACCCCAATGGCCAAGCAAAACGTGTCAGGCTGGATACTCAATCAACATTTTTCACTAATTTAAATGACAACAATGCCAATAAATTTACTGTTACACTTTTTGAATGTTTTATTTGTTGAAGATATGAAACCCCGAAAAAAATTAGATCAAGGGTTGAGAAAATCTAATCCTAGCTATGACAGATGAAGGTCCAAATTCTTCAAGTAGGCTTATTTTCAATCGCCACATGTGTCGTTTCTTGTTTTAGTTTTTGTTTCCATTTGTTTGTTTTGTTTTTGTTTTGTTTCTTACATTTCTTAATCTGCTTTCTCCTCTCACTTATCGTTTCAGTAAATTGTGCAAGTTAGTGCCCATGCAAGCTTTTTAGGACACTAACCTTGCTTAAATCTACTGTAGTGTCTTCCCTCTTCCACGCTTCAGGTTTGTGGTGTACCGGTTACTACAACATCATCCCCACTGGTTAATTTTAACTGTCCCTGGTAGTCATTCGTTCCCTCGTCCAGCCATCTGATGCAACGGCAGCGCTAGTATGCTAGTATTCATGGCGTGTGGAACCCTCTCTGGAATCCGAGTAGCAGGTAAAGACTTGCTTTTACTCTCTAAGTAGCTTTAATGAGAATTTCAGACGTAAATGTTACCTAAGTAATCAACACTTATTTCCACATTGACATCATTTATAACAGGATTACATGTAGATTTTAATTAGGCCTGCGTGTAATACACAGATAAGTCCATTGTTCTCAGCCAGCCTGCAAAAGTCGCACAACTTCGTCGAATTTTCTTAATAGACATGCTCCAAGTAGGGAATTTCGTAAAAAAACAAAAAAAAAAACCCCCCCAAAAAAACAAAAAAACAAAACAAAACAAAACACCGCACAACGCCTTGGGTAACTAACCAGATGCTAGACTTGAACCAAGTCGGACTTATGTTTCCCTTCCCCAGGCAGCCATTCCTGCACTCTGAACAGTAAATGCGTCATCGCGCTCGGCCGCATAACTTCTTATAAGGCGCCCCCATTTGATAGTCTTTCCGCGTTATCCGGCGTCATACGTCACCAGTCGGTAAGTCCGACTTAACGGATACGCCAACCAGACCCCTCGTCGGTTATATGTAGTAATGCATAATTGCATATGAACGACTCGATCTTGCATAATGTATACAGAATTTTCACCAATCAAAATAGTCAGACTTGGAACTTCTACCAATCAAGTAGTCAGACTAGCAGACTCGTTCATCATAATGGGGTTATGGACAACATAAAAACAAGTCCGGTATTTGGTTGACTGCTACTAGTGTTTTGGTAGATGAGCGGGATCTCTGAAATTGCAGTAATAAGTGGACACAAGAGGGCGCGAAGCAAGTAACGCTGCGCAGCCTCAGTATCATATGGTGTACTATTTACGACAGATATTTCTCTCTAGTTCTCTCTAGCCTCCCTCCAAGTGACGCAACTACAGGACGCGATGGCACGACGGCTCGCTTGCGTAAAAGTATATCCTATGGTCTTTATTATGTCGTCTTTTCAAATTGGCTGTCAAGTCGTTTGTAATTCACTCATTCATTTAATCAATAACACTGTTGTTCCAAAGAAGTGGAAATTTGCCTAGTTACGCCTATTTTCGAAAGTCGAGACCGCGAGGTTATCGGGAAATATCGTTCGATGTTGGTCTTACGGTACCACTTCTTTCAAGATGTTGCAAAAGCTATTAATTAATGAGCAACTATCAAAATGTCTATAAGGCAGAAGTTTTTTTACCACTCCTCAATCCAAATTCTCATCCTTGCAATTATCCAACGCAAAATGCAGTTCTTGATGTTACTAAGGCAGTTTTCCTCGATTAAAAGAGTTTGCTTTTGATACCGTCAACCGTGATATCTGATTATCCAAATTACAGCTCGAGTACTTGTACATGTATACATGTGTGTGCGCAGTTGTATGTAGATATGCATGGGTCCAGAGTACATGATTGTGGCTTTATTGGTAAACCTGTTGATTAAATTAGCTTTTTTTTATTTGTCAATCCACCGTTTCATCGTTTATCTAATAAAAGTCTAAACGTAGGGCTTTCATTGACAGCAGTTCTAGAACTGATAAAACTATCAGGTTTACAAAAGACTATAAATAAACAACAAACCTAAACCAACATTAAAACAGCATTTTTAAGGTCAGTGCCTCATAAATCGTTGAATTTCAAAGCTTTAATACGATAACTAATCACTGAAAACATCGGTANGGTCATTTTCAACCACTTTTATTTCCATGATTGTCGACCTAATTATCAAAAATGTTGATTAATCACGTGAGTAGCTGGCCCGATGCGCCCTTGGCCATTGCTTAATGAGGGAGTGAGGGCGCACTTCAGGAGTCACTTTGCACCTCCGACAAAAAAGGCCGCGAAAATGTCAAAAGGGCCTGATAACAGCGCAAAATCCAAAAGAAATTGCGCTGCCTTGTGACGCTCAAGAAGATCATGGCCTCTTTGTTTTACTGGAAATTCAAAATTCTGACCATTGGGACATTTTTATTTTCTTTTCACAAGGTTTTTGTCTGGAATGTTTTTATATAGAGAGAGAAAAAATAAATACGTAAAATTTGAAGACTCGGGGCAAATGGTGATATAAACCTAAATATTGCCTTTAAATGATCTTAAATGCACTTCTGATCTTAACATTTCGTTCTTTTTTTTATATTTCAGTTTCCATACTTTAAGGCTTACACAAAGTACTCTCATTGCGCTGCGTAACTTAGTGCCAGTTGGCGCGCCACACAACTGTTCTCGAAAGTACACAAGTGTAATCCGCTCCGAGCGGAACAAAAGAGAGCGTGTTTTTATGTTCTTGTTTTGTTTTTGACAACCACCACAGGCATATAAACGCATTTATATGTCTGTGGTACTCACAGCATGAGGCGCGCATGTTTGACGCTGACTCAGCACGCTGAGTACGCGTAAACTAATTTATCCCGGTATGTGTGGTCTTTGTGTTCACTCAGAACGCGTGCAAGAACCCGCTTGTATCCACCTGCCTTTCTTTTCGCCGATTGGGGTTGCATTCAGCTCGGGGCGGATATTTTTAATGGTCCCGCCGTTAATATGGCAGCCTACAGCTCTGACGTTTTGCCCAGATCGCAGAATGAAAGGTACAGCTTAGAAGGTGTAATTGCTCAAAGTTACGAACCACATGTCAACAACAGACAGTATTTCTGACCGGCCACACTAGAGTCACTAAAGTTTGGTCTGCCTTCAATACACACGGCACATGGTAAGCGTGTGTCACGTTATCATGTACATGTACATGTATCCTACTGTACATGTGCACGCAGTGTTATGTACGTTAGCTTGCGATGTGATCGTATAAGAACTGAACTTACTGGCAGTAAATGCATTGCCATATATTGTTGCCTGTACTTTCGTGAATTATTTATTCACATTCATAAAGTGAATATACCTTAGCTACACATTTTAAGCTGAAGCAATATTACTTATTAAGCGTTGTGCATGTAGGCCTAAGCACAAATTACTGAAGACACGAGGCTTGGATGGAAATTGCAGTGATATGTCTCAACGTTGGCCATATCATTGTTAACAGTAACATGCATTATTTGCCAATCTCACTGGTTTACATTTGGAATTAGTTCACATGTATGGGCTTGCTCTAGTTTTACAAATCACAGCTAATTTCTTGCATTACTGATGCCTACATGTTTTCTTACATTCATATTGCTTGTATTTGTTGTGTAGTTCTTACGGCATTCGGTGTTTGGAACTCATCTTTTGGCTTTCAGTGGCATCCAGTGCTTGGAATGCATCCGTTATATTCAGCCTATGAAATACGTGAGGTGCCAAAAAGGATAACACAGGCTGAAAGTGAATAAAGAACATAACATTCCCGTAACTTCAGAACACGCTCCAATCGACTCATTATTGGAGGCAGGCGCACGTATCACGTAGGCTACATGTATAAGCAATACTCATGCACGCATCAGCGCGTGTCTCGTGCAGGACAGGATCAGACAAGTCTTTCGACCGGGTGAACTTTTTGAAGAATGGTTCACGTCTGAAGAACATCAATCATTTTAAAACACTTACCAAGTTCCTCAACTCTGGCCCATGAACATCCTGAGATTTCTCCCACACCCGCATTGGGCATCTTAGCACACAATTTCGTCACACATTTGTCAGATAGTAAAGTTGAATAGCAATCAAGAGGTATCAAGCACGTAGGCACGTAACGGTAAAGCTAGCATCCCATAATTTTATATCGACCAATCAGAAGGCTTCTTTTAAAAACGCACGCGCTGTAAGACAAGTTTAACACCAATATCAAGCAACACCGGTTTTTCTCTTCAGTTTCGATGCCAAAGGAATTATTTAACCCCTCCAGTCCTTAACACCAAATTCCATTTCAAAAGAATAAAAAATACAAAAATTGGTGTCAACAATTCAACACCATTGTTTTTGCAGTGTATTTTTCGAAACAAAATAACGATAATGATAATAACAATACCAACTGGACCGCTGGCCATTCGCTCGATCTTCCCACCGATACAGGGCCCTGGAATGGGCAGTTCTACATTTTTGAGGGAATTTTTCACGACTTCAGAGTGCTGCATTATGGTATGAGGGGCGCGTGTTGCTGTTATCATGCCACTCAGAGGTACCGAGTCATTCCTATTAAAACGATTTCTATCCAATGAAATTAATCAAGAAGTTGTGTCCTGTTGCGTGAAGAAATCATCCTCAAGCTCTGTTGGCTAGCTGCATGCAGTGTACAAAAAGAAGGGCGAATAGTGTCATTGCCCGGCCACCGTAGTAAGCAATCAGCTGGATCAGGGACCTGGGCGAACTCCTCAAACCAACTCTTTACGTTGGACCATGTTTTCGTACACGACCTCGTATACGCATACCGAATAAGTGTAGGCACACCACACGTTCGGACGTCTAACCACAGCTTAATATTTAACTAACTTGCATGCATAAAGCTGGACTAAACTTTCATTTATTTTATTTCGCCAAACAGCTAGCACAAGCGTTAGAAATGGATGGATGAATAGATTAGTTACAATGGAAACTTTTAAAAATTGCATAAAACAACAAACATTAAACATAAATGTACAAAGATCAAACTGGCTCATTCAGGTCAGACTAACTCCTCAGTCTTAGTCCCTCATTAATGGGTTCTCTTTTGGATAGACTTGGGCCTCTGTTGAAGTTTCCTCGAAAGAAGATTTGAAAATCCCAAGGGGCTGACTAAAATTTATTATTGAAATTAGGAAAAATGAACTAGGAAATGAAGTTATATAGTGCAGTCAACCGTTGAATAAACCAATTTTGCAGCATTGACACGGAAATGGTACACATCGAAAAACCTTACTGAAAAAAAAATCATATGTAGGTACAAAATTTAGAGAGAAAAGTCGGGCCCAGAAATTTGTCTTTGTGTCCCCAGTGAATTCAAAGATTTAAGTTAAGGTTGACCCACTACTCCCGTGTTTACCACATTGTTCCCAAGGAAACAGTCAAATTTTGTTTGAATACACTCCACGCACTCAACGTGAGATGCAGATACGGAATTTAAACTCACACAGTAAAATTCCAGACTTTGTCCCGCAACGGAAAAGTAAAGTACCTGGTTTTTTTTCTTGGGATCCTAATTTTCGCGATGACACCAAACATACCCAATATAAGATTTGCTTTGGCAGCAATGTAGTCAACATGTGGAGTGAATGTTAATTGAGAGTCGATTCAGTTCCACAGTTCCTTTAAGACCTGGTGCAATTTTGATCATTTTCTCGCAGGTTTTGTGGCTTTTCTTATTTTTTCTTCGGGAAATCCCTTTAAATCATTTTTGCTAAAAACAGCACCAAAGGAGACCGCCTTAGATATAGCAATGTCATGCACACTGGGAGAACCACGATTGTAAAGTCTTTTTACATGGCACTAAAAATCCCGCTTAGATTAGGCCTAGAGACTTATAGCAAAAACGATTTAAGAGGGTTTTTTAGATAGGCCTAGTCTAGGAGACTTTTTTAGGCTAAGATCCAGAGGAGGTCTTCTCATGAACCCATAGGGGTCTTATTTGTGTGTTGGGTTCGGGACCAAAAAAACACAGAAATTAAATGACTTCAATAACGGCGAAAAATACCGTCGCCACCTACGGCGAAAAGAATAGACCCCCTCCAAAGAATCCTGGACCCCCCGATTTTGATAAAAAAAAGGACGGGAATGTTTGTAGCCTGTACTTTTCAGTGGATCACGCAACCATCTTACCTCAAGGCCCTTTGATGCGCAAGTGTAGGTAAAATATATAATTTTGTTGTGAAAAGGTCGTTCTACTTTCAACTGTGATCAACTCATAGATTTCCTAATTCAATGGGCTCAGATCGTTATTCCTGTCAGGAGGAGGAATGACCAAACGTTACTGTGTATACCCCGTGATGGATTACACTATGACTGTCACTATTAGAAAATTTTCCAAACCGCAAATGTTTTTTTATTTGAAATTTCTGTTTTTAAATATTATAATGTCTTTGTGTATATACCAAAACATGTAAAAGATTTCTATTTCTGTTTTTGTACTTTTTTGTTCACATTTTCAGAATTTCCACAGATTAATGGCAGTGTCGAGTATCAACCAATTCTTTACTATTTTGTGATCATTTTTCTGATTGAATTTTTATGGAAAATTTATTTTGTTTTACAAGAACTGTTAAATTGAATGTTAACCATGGGCAACATAAATTCAAATTCAAGACAACTCCAATTTAATTTTTTTTTAACACGAAAGGGGATTTAGTTTGGAAAGTGAAATGGAAGCACTTAATTAGTCAAATCTAACAGCAGAGAGCAAATGACAATTCATCATACACACAAAACGCAACTTACCGTAAACTTAATTTGCCTTCAGCAAAAGAATGTTGGAACTTCACAAAGTAAATTTAATGCGGTTAAAGTGGCAATAACCCAAATTGAAAAACACCATTCAAATTTATTCCTACTAGCAAACCCACTCAACATCTATGCTGACCCTTTACATGTTGTCCTGAATATGTTAATGTCTGGGAAGCGTCCAATTTAAGTATATCAACTATTTCTTAACTTTTTCCACATTTTATTTATAATTGATGTTTTAGGAATTATCTTGTGTATTTGGTAAACAAGATTTAATCAAACGAATAAATTAATTTTTCTTGAGAAAAAAAATTCCAATTCACAAAAAATCGGATGCAATTTTCCTCAATACAAAGAGGATATTTTCGACAACATGAAATGGAAGCACAAAATTTGTCGACACTTATCAGCAGACAGTAAGTGCCTTAAATTAACGTACATTGCACAGAAAAATAATTGAACGTAAAAGAAAACTCGCAAAGTAAGCATAACAAGCCTTATTCATAACAAAGGAAATTGTTAAAGCTGAGGAAAATCGAATTCCACTTAGAGTGGCATACGTTTCCAAACAAACCATGTATTACACAATTATTGTAGAGTGGGGTCAAAAATGATTACCTTAAACAGTTTATACCCAAGAGCCAGCCACGTGCCCTCAACGAAATCCATGTACATGTATTTCTACGTCTACACTGCATTGCATTCGGATCCTTGGCTGACGTCACAATTACGTAATTATTTTGAGTTAAAGACGGGAAAGAGAATAGTTGGGTACAAAAATTGTTAACTGAATTGTAACGTAAAACCATTGGAAAAAATTTCGGAATGTATTTATTTTGATCAAAGAAGCTAAAATATTCCACCAAGAGTGGTTGAATTTTGAAGACCGAACTAATCTGGGGGTAACTGAATTGTTACGTTTCAAGCCATTTTCGTATTACCTGTTAAAACTGTTAAAAAAAGCCTGTTGTTGAAATGTACAAGTACGCATGCATACTCTAACGTTGCCATTTGATGTGCCTTCCAGTTAAAAATAAATTACCCAAACTTATCGAAGAACGGCTTGTTCTAATTCACAATTGTCAGGTTAAATTCAATTACGTATCCATGTAGAAGTTTTTTTTATTATTATTGAGAAATCCAATATGTAGGTGTCAAAGAGCCTTCGGCTCGGGTCTTTAAAAACTGCAAAGACAAAGTCGGTCTTAATCACACTTGTTTGAGACCAACCAAACACAGAATTCTTGAGAATGAGCTTTTACCGGATGTAATAGTGAGGAATTCTACATAACGTGAAGTTTTGGTACTCTTGTCTTAAATAGCTCAAGCTGTAGGCCTATAGGCCGAGTAAAAATCAATTATTCGCTTCATTTTCTTTATTTTTTGTTTTGTTTTTGTTGTTTTGTGTATGCTGTTTTAAAGACAGAAAGGGTGATCGCTTATTCAGACACAAATATGTCCACAAGACCACAGGAAAATCCATCCACTACCCATCCACAAAACATGGCCCCCTCCTTCCTCCTGAAAAATAGACGAGAAATAACTTTTAATTGGTCTGATGGTGGTTATACATTTTTATGGATTGATTAACATCGGCGCATCTCCTGTTTCAATTTAGTTTATTCGACTTGAAGTATACAAATAGCCACCATTTGGAAAATTCAACGACACTTAAAATAGTATGTAAGACTCTTAAAATGTCAAATTGAAAACGAAAAGCGATACAACTTGAAAACCGTGCATCTTGAAAGATATTATTGGTCTTTAACTGTCCAATGTCCTTGTACAACTGATTTAAAGGAGTCGTCTCTTCGCTTGTGACTTCGATACACGTGAGAATAGTTTGTGGCCGATATTGAGAGACGTAAGAGTTATTTGGAACATTTCTTACACCAGGTATATAGATGGTAATGTCTAAGTGCAAAGTGTTTACTAAGACGATCGGATGATGAGAAATTGTCCGGCCTGTTTGGGACTGCGATGTTCTCCAGAGGCGTATCCAGCGGGGGGGGGGTTCCTCCCGGAATGCTGGAATTTTTTTAAGGTGTCAGGTTGTGGAGGTTGAGGATCTTTTACAAAGAAAAAAATGGACAGCCGATTTTGGGAAAAAAATTCCATTCTCAACCGCCTATCTCCCCCTGGACAGCCACTCTAAAATTAAAAATTTTCACAAGAAGTTAGGTTTGGTCAACGTCAGTGTTTTCGTCTTCTTTTACAATAACGTCATCAAAATGATCGACTGCCATTGGATTCTCTATACCTTTCATTTTACCAGCCTCAACTTTACGCCCAAATCTGCGTCTCGAGCTGTGCTGGTCTCTCTTCAAACCAACAATTTGCTGTTGTCCAGCAACATTGTCATCGGTTGAAATTCCGCTGAGCACAAACGTGCAAACAGGATTACTCACTCCTGTATCGTCGTCGTTCAAGCCATCCAAATCCAAATCGGCCGTTACAGAGTCTGCCGTCTGTTTACGGTGATCACCTGTGGAAGCACTCCTTGGAAACTTGACATAAAACGCTGGAGGGAGATTCAGACGAGGTTTCTTCTGCTTTGCTTTCTGAAGAAAATACACGACAAGACAGAGGATCATTGCAATCAGAAGAATGGCCCCACCTGTGAAGAAAGCGATGTCGTACCTGTCCGTGGTGTCGTATGTTACACCTGAAACAGAAACATGATGAAAAGTCGCTCTTTTACAGAACAATCAGGCACATTCCTTTTGTTTTCCGTGGAAAAATGAAACGATACTTGGCTTTATCTTCTGAAGGTTTTTAAACATGGCATCATGGTGACGTGCAGCAACTCTTGTAGTCTTTATCGTTCATTTAAAAGGAATTTTTTTTATAAAAGAAAAAACCTATGATTCGTATAGGGGCACATTTGACCCCTTTTGTGAAGCAAATGAAAATGTTTGAGTCTGAAAATACGCGTGATATGGTCCGCCCGACTTCTTTAATATGAACTAATACACATTCCTTTAGATGTTTAAGTTATTTTATAGATTATGTTCGAACTAAAAAAAAAGCAGAAAATATGCTTTCAGGATGTATTTTTTTTGTGTTAGGAGACGTTAATTATATACCAGGTTTTACCCTTACCCAGCCTATTGATAAACACTGCATGCTCAGTGCTTGTCCAAGAGTTTGCAAAAAATTCACAAGCTTACTCTTGTGGGACTCAAACCCAAGACCTCCTGCTTACTACTGCAGACGTCCTAACCACTCGACCACTGAGCTTGCCGCGGTAGGCTGGCCGGTCTGAGTCAAGTGAAGCAGCGGGTACCGCGAACTATTTTCAAGGTGTAATTTTGCGTTGGGGAGATGTTAATTTATATAATGAGTTTTGCCCTTAACCCCCCCCCCCCAAATAAATACATCTTGAAAATAGTTTGCTGTACCCGCTGCTTCACCTGACTGGGACCGGCCAACTGACCCCTGCAAGCTCGGTGGTCGAGTGGTTAAGACGTCTGCACTAGTAAGCAGGAGGTCGTGGGTTCGAGTCCTACCCGAGTAAGCTTGTGAATGTTTTCGCCAGCTCTAGGACAAGCACTAAGATGCAGTGTTTATCAATATATACGTTTGGTAGGGGCGAAACCCGCTATATAAAATACGTTTTCCTTGTCCCATGCATAAAAGGCACAATGTTTGCCTCAAAGACTACGAAAAACAAAGTAGCTCCGTTCTTTCTGTCAAACAACAACTTCACTGTGCACTCTCCACGATGCTGGCTTTGTCCTATACAGCCCTGTAAAATCACCAATGAGATATGCTGTAAAAAATTAGTAAATAGTGGTTCATACTTAACTATAGTTACACTTCATAGTGCAACCACATTCTCGAATTAAAGAGATGAATAGATCGGGAGATTGCTAAAGTCCTCAGGTTTCAAGTTTGAAATCTTAGAAATTGTGTTGGACTGGCTGCGCAACGTTGCATTCGTTCAACTCATTATATGTATGCATTGTCTTGGATTATGGTAACAAAGGAGAAGAATGCCTTTGTTGAACTGTATTCCAACAATGGCTGCAGCATATGCATTGAGTAGGCACGTTTCGTTCCACCATTCTAACATTCTGCGTTTGGCGTTTGACGGGCATCGTGAGTTGAAAACGCAACGCCCGGCACGTATCATATTTTGTCTTTTTGGTTCTTGTCGGGCTGATCAAGTCATCATTCTATCTCATGAAACCTTAACGACGGAGAAAAAAAGACTGGTGGAAATCTTTGGGACATTTTTACTAGATCAAGCTGTGTTGAGATGTCATATTTTACCATCTTACCTGACACAAAGATGCCAATTACATTGCCCACACACATAAACAATAGCATAATTCCCAATGCTCCTGCGGCATCCGACTGTTGTACCTGGG